TCTAGCCAAGTAGCCACATTCATTGGCCGCCATAAGTGTAAGGCCCACGGCCCACCATCCTAAAGTTCCAGCATCCCTCCACCACAGACAGGCTTCCCTTCCCTTCTCCTCCAAGACATGAAGAGTTGGCTGGGGTGGTAGTGGGAGGCATTCAGGGGGAAACTTTCAGTGTCTGAATTGGTTCCTTACACTCTCCAATCGGTAGAGAGTAAACAAAAGCAGGTGTTATATATAACTTATCATTTAGGTCAATCTATCTGTCCATCCATCCATCATAAGTATATTTCCTCACTGTGCCGGGCACTGAGGATACAGAAACGACTCAGTCCCTACATTTGCCATGTAAGAGTTCACTGTTCCATTGTGTAAGTGATACTCACATGAAGAGTAACATTGCACTTTGGTCTGGTTTGCTTGTTATGAAGAGAAAAACACATGATGAAAATATTTATTTTATTGCATCATTTTACTGACTAGAACGCCAGACTTATAGTGGATATAAGTATAAAAATAACCGAATTCTTACAAATAATACTTTGCTGCTACAGTACTGAATAATTAGTGGAGGTTGCAATTATAATACAACTTTAAATAACATTCTCATAATGGGTTTAACACAGTCAACCAGGGGGTAAGGTTTAAAGGTTTGCGAAGAGAAATCCAGGACGACGTGAACACTCAGAAAGTTAATATCCCAGCTACATGCTCCATTTAACCATAAATCCAGCAACACAAACATTAACAAAACTCACAGTAACCTGTGATAAAAGGTCTTTTTTTAAAGAAAACAGGCCAGGTAATACAGAAACCTAGGTTAGTTTCCCAGGTAGACTGGTTTCATCCCATCCCTGTCTGGTCCCATCCTTCCTACCCAAGAACTCTGCACCTAAAGTGCATTATTATGTGTCCAAAAAAAACCTGATAAAGCCAGAATCTAATACACAAATCCTTTGAAATCTCCTCTTTAAAAATGCCAAGAGGAGAGAGCCAGTCTAAGATCTCTTTCTAGACCTTAATTGTCCCCTTTGGTTTCCCAGGCTTTTCTGTGAGCAGTTTAAACCCAATAGGATGGATTGTAACACTACTGAAAAGATACTTTAGCACAACAAATTAACTGACATTTAATACTTTAATGTTCCTCTTATTTTAATCAGTTTCCTTCTCTGGGGATTTAAGAAAAGACAAAGAAAAAAGAACACATATTCAAAAGCCAACTCTACAAAACCGTATAAAAATGCACACAAGAACCTCAGAATGATGCTTTGTCAAGGAGGAAACGAAATGTCCCTTCTAATCCCCACAAAAGTTTTCCTATAGAAAAAATATCTCTGATATTAAGGGTAGTTTTAAATAAGACACAAAATACTGAAATACTGAACTTTGCATTGTTCCTCTCTCCAAAGAAGTGCTCTACTTTCAAAATCAGTGTATCTTAGAACTGTGGGTCAAAATCCTAGTTTTGGAACTGTGGGTCAAAATCCTAGTTTTGGGCTTGTTAGGCTAAACTAAGCCAGAAGCAACTGGACTGACAGCTCTAGTTTCTTCAGGCAAAGTTCACAGAGTTACAGGGTACCCGGGCACTTCACCAGGGGGCACGACGGCTTAATGGAGGCCCCCAAAAGCCACGTGCGAAGGATGACCCTAACGTGTCTGCTCTGGGAACTTTCACATCTGGATAAATACATCATCCTTCAAAGACACTTTCTTCAGCAGCCATCCAGTCTTGCATTGCAGAGATGCTGCCCTCCCATTTGGGCCAACTTTAAGAGTTACCTCTTCAAGAACCTAATAGTCACGTCTTAGTTTTTGATCTCCATTGCTATCAGCCAGCTTGATGACACTATCTATTCAGAAATTTTGGCTCTAAACGACTCAGCTGCTTCTGAAGATAAACTTTTGGCAAAGGGGGAGATTTGTCAGCATTTAAGACATTTGACTGAATATGTTCCTGACTCTGATAATGTTCATGAAAATATGCTTCCAATATATGGAAGCCACGGCCCTACCACGGCAGCCAGGTGAAGCAGCCCTCAGAGGGACGTCTAAGTCTGGCTGTGTTTGTCAAAAACCCAGGTCATCACCTTACACCTCTACGTTCAAAGCTATGTACCAAGATGCTTCTTGCTAAACATGAGCCAGCCGCTGTTTTCTTAATGATGACACAAGCGTTCAAGAAATATATGTAACAACAAACCTAAAGGACTCTTTCAAAAGGGGATTTAACAATTTCTTGCACTTCATGTTATTAGTTTAGTTACTGCTTAATAATATTAAGTTTCTTTAAAAAAACATTTTAAGCCCACTTTCTCATGCCCTCTTTGATATTTAAAGTACACTGGATGGTGGGGCATCTGCCAGGAAGGTGAGGCAGGGAGGTACAGTGGGAAGTGCAAGCCAGGCAGAAGAGTTTGAATCCTGGCTCTGCAAGGCAAGATGTTTATCCTCTCTGAACGTTCCCGTCTGAGAAGTAGGCACTCTCATGCCCTCCTCACAAGGGTGTAGTGAGGCCAAGTCCCTGGCACAGAACCGGGTCGCGGGAGAAACATGCGAGATGCTAGGTGGGACTATTTAGACTTCCTAAATTGTCTCCAGTGCCCTGGGCTGGCTCATGGGCAAAGAGGAGACGACACGAGAAATAAGACCCTCTGGAGCTTAAACAAAACCCACAGATGCTGGGAGGCCAGCAGGCCAGCACCGCCTTGCTCTGAGTCTCTGTGTTCTGGTATGTTATGGGACACATGGGTCCATTTGGGCCTGCTCTTCCCTACAGAAGTTTCAGCGTCTCATGGGCAGTTAAGTGTCACTTTTCCCTTCCTCCCACCCTCCCCCAGCTATGGGGCCCCAACGCAGGACTGTGGCACTTCTGAGTTCATGAATCACACATTCCAGGTGTGGGGGCTACACTGAGCACCTGGGCCAGAGCTGAGAGTTTCTGCTTGCCATGGGTGCACCCAGCCCTGTCCCTACAGTCCAGACGCTGCTGTCCCACAGCTGTTTCCCTTCGGCCCAGGCAGGACTCTTCTGGAGGTATGAACCCCAAGCAGGAGTGAAGCTCGCCTATCCCTTCCTCACCCCGGGCGGGCAGCTGGCACTGGCTAAGAGTCATGCTGTTTCCAGGCCTTCTTAGATGCATGTTCCCCAGCCCCACGAGCCTCCTAGAAATTGCAGCTATGATGTGAACTCAACCTTGCAGAGCGCCTCCTTTTTTCACAGTGAAAGAAAAACAACATTCTTAATCCACTTCACACGCACAAAACAACATTCTTAATCCACTTCATATGCACAAAACCCATTCACAGGAAAGCATTCTTGGAACTCACAGGACTCTTTCTGGACTTTGGGATTCTTCTCCAGAATGCTTTTGGGACAGACACTTCATTTGTGGAGCTTCTAGCTTCTGGCCCTGATATAGGAGACGATTTGGCAGCTATGAGGTCAGCTGAAGGTGGCAGACGTGTATGCCCAGGAACAGCCCCCCGCCGTGGCTCTGGGTCCTGGGGATGAGCCAGGATCAGCGTCAAGAGCCTGGAAGCTAGGCCACCTCATGAGGGATTCAAGTCGGCTGGCTCAGTGGGCTGAGTGCAGGAGCTCGAGCACTCCAGTGAGATGTAAGGCCGTGAGCCACAAAGAGCTGTTTGGTTCCAGAGAGATGCGAGACCCAAGATTTCAAAAAGGTGATGCTCTGAGATTTTAAGTGGGCATCCACTGACAAAAACTGAGTTCTTTTTGTATCTATCACATGAGATGAGTGCAACTGAACCATCAAGAGGCACTGCATCTGACTAGCATTCCTGCTGTAGCAGGGTGGCAGTGACTCGGAGACCATGGGACACAGGAGTTTGTACTTACAACTGTTAGGACAAGGATTACATAAGAATAAGGATTAGATACATTCTGAAGAGATTAGAGAACGTCGAAGAAACAACCACGCCCAGGACAGAACTGTCCCCAAAGGCTGCACCACTTCCAGAAACGTGGGTGCCACCGAGCTCCAAAGCTTCAGGGTGGGAACAATTCTTTTATCTGTGTTCTCTTCACTTCATCCCAAATCAAGATGTTTCAAAAGCAGACGACGAGATGACAAGAACAATCACAGTTCCACAAGAAGCAGTTAAAGACACTGAGCATTGGATACGCCCCCCTCACAGGACCCACGTCACAGGCATAATAAATAAGACCCAGGGAATTCCCTTCCCAAAGGCAGACTTTCGACTCCCTAACTGGCCAGGAGTCTTCAGTTCTCCAAGGCTGACTTGAATGATAACCATGTTTCTGGAGGGAACTAAGGAGTAGTACAAAGAGGTACAAACCACTGGATGAGAGCAAATAAGTTATGTCTTCAATGAATAAATAGCTTTGAGCGGTCAGCTGAAAGTTTACACTGAGTGTGAGGACGAGATCAGGGATACAATCAAGATGGCGCACTAGCAGGTGAGCAGACTCCCGTGTGGCTCCACCCCAGCTCCCTCTTCTTCCTCAGGAAGGCGCACAGCTTCCTAAAGCACTGGTGTTGCAGGAAATCGAACTAGCCTAGTCTGCCCATACCTCTAACCACATTCAGCTGCAGCGACTACACCATGCTGCCTTTCCTTTAGTGGTGAACTACTAGCTCAGACCCAACCTGCATTCAGCTTTCCATTTCTACTCCATACAGAGCAGCCTCAGCCTCAAAGATGGAGGGGATGCAAAGTGCCCCAACGCCTGCAGCTCTGTAAATCTCCCACCAGGGCCTTCGCCCAGTGCCAGTGCCGGCTACTGCCTGCTGGGCCTCACCACGGGGCAGCTGGTGGCCTCAAACGAAAACCAAATGGAAGCCGCTTTGCCCTGATCCAGACTTTTTTGAAAAAGTGAGATTTAACTGCAGAGGGAAAAAAGAATCTTAAATAAATGTGTCACCTTGACTACAAAAACAAACCGGAGTTGTGTGCTGTGCCCCACAAATTTCAATTCCTCATTTTGGGGGTTGGCTTGGAAACTGTAGCACAAGAAGACCTAGAAACATATGAAAATACTGTACGTTAACCTACAGCATCTCCAAACCTTAGTGGTGTGTTTATCATCGTCATCATCAGCTGTGGGTTAGCTCGTAGGTACTAGGCAGGAAAACTAAAGAGCCAGTATTTTGCTGTAAATTCATCACCAAATTGAGGCCTATGGAAGTGTCTCAGGAAAAGAGGCCTTCTTTCTGGAACAGTCTTGAAAAAAGATCCCAAGAGAGACCTCCCTACTCAATTTACTAAAGTGCAAACTAAGGAAAAACTGGGTTCTTGCCGTGATGCCTAATGATCTGCCCTCGCTAACAGTCACCCTTGAGCCAGCGTCCATGCCGCGTCATTGAGAGACTCTCCCGGTACTGGCCCACGTTCACATTCACAGTAACAACGAAGGTGCCGAAAGAGCAGCCTGCAGTTCCTCGTCCACAGGTTCCATCTGCCCCCTTCCACTGTGGTCAACGCCCCTCACGCCTGTCCCACTTTCTGCCTGCCACTCAAGTGCGGCTCCACAAACCGTGGGAGCAGCCAGTGTTTGGTGCTCCCACCTTGTGCAGTCCTCTGAGCAACAGAGGTCCCGGGCAACTCGCTCAGAGCAATGGGGCCCTCTGTCTTCTGCACTTAAAAGTAGTCTCTTCTCCTGCTCTCATCACTGATGAAAGATGGGTTATACTGTCCGGGGAAGATGCAAGAATGCCGTGACCCCGGCAATCCAGTGTAGGCCGGGTAGAGTCCATTTCGTTCAAGTTCAGGATTCCTTACATTTGTGGGCTGGTGGCCAAAGAGAAAAGAAAAGAAGTCAGTTTATTATTCATGGATTTGAATATAA